TCTTTTTTGTGAATATGTAAAATTATGAAGGAGTGAGGAATTATTCAAATAATTAATAGGAGTTGAATTTTTCAAGTTTTTATTTGTATTAACTTAAAAATTGATAGCTATAAAATTTTAATATCTACTATTTATTTAAGTGTTAAAAATTTAAACTCATTATTAAACTCATTTAGTATAAATATATTTAGAGGTATATTGATATTATAATTTTTTGTACAAATTAAAATATAATTAAATTTATTATAAAACACATATTTTAATTTATATATAGTACACATACAGAAAAAAAAATATAAATTCATACTTATAACAACATACAAAAATGGAACAAAAACACAAAGATTACTAATTAGGGATACATTGCTTTATTTTATATATGTATCAACTTTTATTTATTTTGTTGTCCTGGCCCATTTGCAGTTTAAGTTATTATTTAACTTATATATTATATTTTATATATAACAATTCAAGTATATTTTGTATACACATCAAGTATACAACTCATGTATATATATATAAAAGTTAGTATTTATTTGCCTTATTTTTTAAATTTTGTAATGAAAATTATTTTAAAATAAGGTTATTTTAATTAGAAATCATGAAAAATTGTTAAAAATAATCTAATTTATGCTATTAAACTAGAATATTTTACTCATTTTCAATAAAAATTAATTAAAATGATATAATATGAGATAATTTTCTCCTTATATGCACTTTCCATATATATACATATATGATAAGTGCTTAGGATGTCCCCTATGAAAGTAATTTTTAAAATATCATATTTTAATTAATATTTTTAAAACTAACCATTAGATTAAAAATTTTATTTATACAAATCATTTATGTCAACTTTTGAATTGATCTAGATGGCCTAATTTGTTTGTTAATTACATAAAATTTAATATAGTTAAATATATATAAGTGAATATGTTTTTTTAATTAAAAAATTATAAATATTAAATCAATTTAAAAATTAACATGTTTAATCTTTATGAATTGAATATTTAATTTAATGATTAGTTTTAAAAATATTTAATTATAAATTAGGTTTTAGGTAAGTCCTTTCAAAAATTTTAAAATGATGATTTACATTACATTAACTTCTATATATATATATATATATATATAAGTCAAGTATATAGATTAGTTATAAACCCTCATATCTACTAGTTGACCTCATGCTTGATAGGTATATAGTTTCACGCTTGATATTTAACTGTCTTTTTTCAAGTACAAATAAAATATTTAGGTACACACAAATATCAACTATACCTATACTCAATGTTTAGCCGTAGTCATACAATGTTTTGTTAAGGCTATACAAATAATATACTAGTTAGGTATATTTGGTTTAGTTAATTTTATTAGTTTGTAGTTTTTTTAAACAGACAGTTATAATATTCAAAAACAAAAGTTTATAGGCTTATTTTAATTTGTAAAGTAATAAATATCAATTATTTTGTTAATTAATAATTATAATAATTATCAATTATTTCTAACAATTAAATAAGTGTTTTTTGTGATTTTAACAAAAAGTTGTGGCAATGACCACACCCTATTTTCAATTGTTAACTCCAAGAGTTGGATTTATTGTTTTGTAAGAGTTGTTTTATAAATTAAGTTTAGATTTAAATCTTAAATTATTACTTAAAAAATTAATTTTTTAAATACATTAGATAAATATAAAAATGTGCTTTTAAATCACTTGAAAAGAAAAATAATTTCGAGATATGCACAAACTGTCTAAAAACAACTTGATTTCCAAACAAAAACAATTTTATGTAATTAGCAACAAATATGAAATGTTACTAGACAAGCAAATATATATTAATTTAAAATAAGTGATTTTTTAAGAGAAGATCAGAATAAATTATAATGTACCATATATACTATGTTGTATAAATGGATAAAATATTGTACCTATATTAATTTTTTATGGGGTTTTTTTGTCTGGACAGACAATGGGAAAAAGAGAAAAATGATGGTTTCCATTTACTAATTAGGAATGTGATTTAATGAGAGATGTGGGTGGGGATAAAGGTGGTTGCCAGCTTCTCCTACCTACTAATGACACAGTAATTTTAAATGACCTCATTTTACATATGCATTTGTTTGGCTCTGCCACTTGAGTAGAATTTACATGGAAAAAGACAATCTAATGTGTATTAGATGTAATTCAAGGGGTGATTCAATAATTAAAAAATTTAAGGTTTTAAATTGAAATTTTAAATTTGAATCTTGAATCAAATGAGGTATAATTTAAAAAAGAAAAGAAAAGAAAGCTATCTCCTCATATATATCTCATTATTATCGATCATATGTATAAAAAATACATATTAAATGAGATTATTATTGTGAGTAGTGTTAATGACCAAACTATGAACTACTCTCTCCAAACTAAATAAGGGTGTTTTGAACTAATAATTTATTTTTTATTTTGAAAAAGATATTAAATATTATTATTTTAATTATATACTCCTATTAAAGTTCGCATGGCCTGTTGTTATAAAAAAAAAAAAAATGTTTGCATGGTGAGAGAATTGTCATACACTATAGTATTAATATCATAAGAAACGTTTGGTTCCCACAAAGAAGAATTTGTGAAAGATATAACAAGAAGAAGCAGTAGTCGGCTTGCTCCCAAATTCCCTTTTATTATAAGACCATAGCCAACTAATTAAGTAGAGGGTGGTCGATTGTATTAATACCCCTATTCTCTCGAATGCTTCTTCTTAGATTTTTTTTTTCTTTTTTTGGGTAAGGCAGAGTTCCGAGAAATAGGGATATAATGGATCATTGTCCTAGAAGAATTTGAAATCTTAAATAAAATTTTTTCTGTGTGCTAACTTAGTATCTTAAAATTTTGTCTTAATATGATTGTATATTTTACTTTACTTCATTTATATATGTCGCTTTTTAACCATAAATACACACCAAACCAATAGTGATGGTAAGATTTCGTTTCTTAGTCTTATGTTATACTACACTGTAAATGTAGGGTTTTTTATTTTTTACTATTCTAAAAATATGTAAATATTAATTAAAATTAATAAAAAAATATAAAAATAAATAAAAATTAATTAAAATTTAAAAATTAATATTTTTAGAT